GAAAAAAATGCAGCCAAACTCCTGCAAACATGAAATGTTTATGGTACCTAAACTTTGGCGACATATTTGTGCAATTTAGAGAGTGAACAGGAGTTTGCCTGCAACTGTTGGTGTGAATGTGTTCACTTCATAAGTAAAAACCCAAGCGCCAACCTCGGGTGTTGAAAAATGAAGCCAATGCAGAGTGCAGTTCCTTCAGTGTCCACTTGAGGCTGGTGGGAAAAGACCCAGAAGTCAAATACACAACCTTTCAAACGTGCATATTTACAGCAGAAATAAACAAGTTTACAGCTTGCTACAAAAACTATATTTGTCGGAACAGTTAATGTCATGGGAGGGGCTTACTGGCATCGATGGGCTTCAAAAGTCCGCTTCAGAAACCAACAGGTGACATCACTGAGACAATATCTGTGTTTTATGATCAAGCCTAAATCATCACAAACAACAGATTTTAGTCATAATTTATAAAATGTTCACTCTAAATATACAAACTTAACAAATTATTGAAACTAGTCAGTTTGATATTAAATTTAATATTTGGTTGCACCACAGAGATAAAAAAAAGAGAAGGTTTTAGCCGAGTAGCCGCTGAATAATAACAACACTATAAGATATGATTGCAGAAAATGACTTTCTTTGATAATTTTCTCTCCTTTGACCAACATCATGTTTTTTTCTGCTGAACTGTTTTAAAACTTAAACTGTAGTGGCCACACGTGAAATCACTGTTCTGTAAAAACATGAACAGAATATAAACTCACCACTTCACATTCAAACCTTTTGAGGATTTTAAATGGTGTATTATTCAGTTACACTATAATGAATGCACTACACAGATTAGATTAAAAAGGGAAAAGACCAGAGAACCAACATTTATCACTGTACGTCTGATTGGTTACTTATCTTACTTTGTCTTCTTCATAAGTCAGATTTTATACATGTAAGCTTGCTCACGCATTAACAAGTGAATTGAAAGTTTTTTAACCCCTCGTCAGTATATTTAGAATATATCTACCTGCTTCAGTCTGTAGCTGTGAGACAGGCTGTAATGGGCTTCACTTCAGGGAGTCCACTTTAAAGGATCATATAAAATGATCAGTGCTCTACTTCAGACTGAAGTGTGCGATCATCAAATTGTCTTCCAATCAATCTTTTAGCATCTTGGATCCCCATGAAACAGAAAGAGAGAGAAAGATGTTTATTTTTTTCAGATGCAGGTAATGAATTTATTTACAATGTTCCTCCAGCAGGGGGCAGTAATGTTGCATGAACGGGGGGGGGGGGGGTGTTTGTTACAGTTTATATTGACATGTTAATCATGTGGTTGTAAATAATGCAGACTATATGAACAATTAAATATGTGAGTTTAAGGAATAGCCTCGTGTCTGCCACAGATTAGATTTCAGTTGGAGGAAGCCAACCTGCTAAGAGGCGGTTTACAGGAAACTAGATTTTATTATCTCACAGTTTGACTGTCACAGTCATAAATTACCAACAATTAAAAGTTCACATTTTAGTTTCCAGCACTTGTTTTGATGTGGCCACAGAAACATTGAGTTTTAGAAGGTTTGTGTTTCTTGTTCATGGCTGAGAGTAGTTATTTACTTTGTTGATGTATTAAGACTTTGTGTGTGATTAGGTATTCGATTTAGATTTACTTCACTTTCCATTTGCTTTCTGAGGATTAATGATCATTTATAAAAAAAAAAGTCACCCACTGACTGTTATATACAGTCTGTGGGTGTGACTAGTCATCTCACTGAATGAGGATGTTTTGTTGTGTCTTTGTTCTCACACTGGACAGACACACAGGGACAGCACAGCAACTCATTATATTTATTCTCATCTTAATGTTTCATTGGTGAAACAATACATCGTAATGAAACAGTCTGTTAGGGCACCATAGACTGTACATGATGGAAGGTGCAACAGCTCCCCCTGCTGACTGGCTGCAGTATATGTCATAAACCCCGCCTCCTTCTAACAGATGGAACATGGGACAAACTAAAAAGTTATAAAGAATTAAGTTCTGTTTTTATTAATTATTTGATGCAGAAAGACAGGATGTAACGTAGCTTGACAAATGCGGCTCCTTGCAGCGTTCTTTTATCAGAGTAGAGGAGAAAATGGGAGAGAAAACGGAACAAAAACAACCAATACAATCATTGAACTTTCCATAATCATGAGTGTTTGCTTTAAACCAAAAACAAGAAACTGCTCTGCTCTGGACTGTGCACATTTTGAAAACACTTAAATAGAAATAGTAACTTTTTAGTTCAAGCTTTGTGATTTGATTAAATCACGATTATAAAAGAGGGAAATGACGTAACCTGGTCATAATCTGCTTTAAGCTCCTGAGCCAATCAGCTGGCAGAGTAACAGGGAGCTCTAAATCAAATCAGACTTCAAATTCCCTTTAAGTCTGCATCTTCTCAACCTGGAGAGAAAAACAGAAAACCTTGACCAAAAACTAGGATTAGAGACAGAAATAGCAACAGGCTCTCCTCAGTGTAAAGGTGAACTTTTTGAATGAAAGTGGTAAGAATGGCAGATTACTAACACCTTTTGCTTTCAAACTGGTGCATGCTTGGCTGCTTAATTAGCAGTGATGCTAACAACTGTAAATAAACAGCATACTCAACATGTTGAATTAATCTGCCTATAAAGGTTGTTGTTTTAATAAAACCATAATGATGCCTAACTTACTTGGAGTGAACCATCTCCTTATTGATATATCAAAATGTTTGATATGATATGAAGTCATATGTAGTTGTTGTATATTATTTCAAAGGTGCTATCATGTACACATAAAGGTAACATATTGAACCTGAAATTATTTCCAAATGTTTTTATACTTTAAAAACCTTGTTCTGAGTGACCTTAGACCAGGGGTGGGCAACTGGCGGCCTGGGGGCCTCAATGTGGCATATCAGTTAATTGGAAACATGAAGAAAACATGAAAACATGACAAAATCTGCCATGAAATCATGAAAAGCAGAAATATGTTCATAAAATGTTTTGATCACTGGTATATGTTGAGTTAAATTTGAGACATAATTGACTGTATTCATTTTTGTATACTACAATTTAGTAGTATATTAGTGCCAATTTAGTGTCTTAGACACTCACAGACATGTTGACACCTGTCATGCCGCCTCTGTCATCAGTGTGTGTGTGTAAAATGATAAATGTGGCACAGACCTGTGCTCATAATGGATTCAAGTTGGGTCTTTGTAAACTATATAATAAAGAGTACGGTCTAGGCCTACTCTTTTTTTTTAAGTGTTTTGAGGTAGTATTTGTTATGAATTGTGCTTGGAGGGGTTTTAAGATTAGGGGGCGCAATGTCAGTGATACCAGGGGTCAGTACACCTAGAAACCCCACATTTCCTGCTGCCCTGTTTAAATAGCATCCTCATACCTGCAGCTCTATGTAAGTATGAACAAGGACTTACTGGACGAATAACATTTCACCATCAGGCCTGGAAATCCCCCAGAATCCTCCAGGAGAAGCTTGAAACATTGCTAAAGAGAGGGACATGTTGCACCCAGTCCTTCAGAAGCAGAAGAGATTGGACACATGAATAAAACTATTTTGTATAGATAATTACCTTAAAGATCATCTTTATAGTTACTTTCGTTTATCAGTGTTGATTATAGTTTATTATGTATGTCTTCTACCACCTGGTAACGTGACTCACCCTCCTTCACAAACTGAAGCGATACCTTAACCACATCAAACAGACTTTTATTACTAACATAGACCATAGCAGTTATTAGATGTGATGACAAAACACCGCTTTTTAATTAACAGAGAGATTACTTTATCAAATCTTCTGGAGATCTGTCTTTAGTCTTAAAACCTGCATTGGTTTAGGATATGGGTCCTATTTTTGGAGATTTTCTTTTAAAACGACTTGTAGATTTTGTGACCGCTCTGGTTGACTGAAAACAGACATTAATACCTGCAACATTATCTTGGAGCAAGCTCAGGCTGTTCCTCTAAAACATCTTGTTGTTGTTTTTTTTCACTGACATGCTCACATGTTGAAGTTTTTGACAAAATGACAAGAAAAGATCCCCACAAAGATCTCGTTTTTAAAAACCAGAAACAGTTATTCATATGGTTTCTTTAAACCCATCAGACTCCACTGACACAAACGCAAATTTTTGTCTTTCAGGACACAGGGGTTGGTTAAGCTGGTGTCCAGTTTGTTTGTGAAGCAGTGTCAGTATAAAGAAATTCCACAATTATTAAAGAATTATTGTTTTTCCCTTCTTCCAAAGTTTTCGGCTACATATTACTTCCATTTCATCATAAGACATATCATCATCATTAGTATTATATGTTGTCCCTGTTTCCCCCTTTTTTTTATATATCACTCTTTCCTCTCTCAAATACACACACACACACATACACTCTGTCATACCACCCAAACGAATCACCACAGAGCTATTTTTGTTGCGGAGGATGCTCAGGAGGGAGGGGCATGGCAATAATAATACAGGCTGCATTAAATGTATGCTGCATTCTGATGTGTGTCTATTGATGTCTTAGTATTTTGCCGCCTTTATTTTTTTTCTTTATTGATTTTTTTTTTTGTTTACGCTATTTTGGAGTTGTTGTCCTGACCTTGTCTAATTGTTTTTTGTGCCTCATTTGTTGTGTATATGTCACCAGTTTGTCACTCTATTGCACCTAATTAAAATTTAAAAAAATACCACAACACTTTGTATTGTTAAAAAAGAAGAAGAGAAATCCAGTATTCAGAGCAGTCTGTAGCTCAGAATTACTTTTAGTATGAACATCCAATAATACTGTAACATTATTTAAAGGTTGTTGTGTGAATGTTACTGAATCATTCAGTTTCACAGAAAAGGAGCTCATATGTATGAAACCTGACCTAAAGACCTTTTACGTTTACTGTAGGCATCACATGAATAAAAAACGTCTGTGGAAACCACGGGCTGTGATGTCATGGAAGGTCCCTCAGCAGAGTACAAGTAGATGTAGAGATGAGGAAATGAGCCAGAGTGAAGTGTGATTGTTAGTGTCAAAGATGAAACAGAAGCTACAGCTCTATGTCTTCATGTTGCTTGTACACGGTGAGTCCCTTTAGATTTACTTTACTATAAACTGAAGATGATCATTACACCTGAGAATGTTCTGATGCTTTAAAATCTGACAGTGGAAATTAACCTTCAAACAAACTCGGCCAATTTAATGGTTGCAAGTTGTGTATTGTGTAATGTTAATCTAAGTAGCATTTGATGTGTTTATCAGTACCATAATGAATTGAAGCTTAAATGGGATTCTCATCCAATTTCCACATGTTTTGTCTCACTTCTAATTTAAAGAGACACTAAGTAAAATTATTTCATTTAAAATGTGTATTTTAATCATTGCATGTCAAACATTATAAACTTGAAGTAATGTCTGATCTGTTTCTGGGAGAGCCCTGCTTTGTATATACTTTTTATTAACTTAGCAGGTCTGAATCAAACAACCTATCAGGGTTAACTTGCAGGTAACTATCCAATCAGAGCGACTCTGAGGATGTTTTGGTTGCAGACATGTTGCTTAGACAGTCAGACACTTAAACATTCTGATGAACGAGAACATTAGTATAGTTCCCGACTGCTCGCGTTCTGAGCATCTTATAAGTCATCGTTATCAAACAAAAACCATCGTCATTACCATCATCATCATCAATAATATGGAGACCATCATCATTAAGTTAGTAGGTATTCATGAAAGAGCTTTTTCTTAAAGGTACAGAGGGACTCTGCAGATGTCTGTAGATGTCTTTATGTTATTAATTAAATGTAAATAAAACCGTAGCCCTTTCCTAGAACATATCCTCGTGATATTTATAAAAACAAGACATGTTATAGTAGTTTATGTCCTAAATGTGGGTAAAACTTGTGAGTGATTAAGGATGAATGGAGGAATGGAAATAGGCTGTAGGAGGCTCTAACCCTAACCCTGAAAGAGAGTAGCTTTAACATGTAGCCGACTTATTCTTTTTATAGACTGTTAACTTAGTTTAGAGTTTAAAATGATGAACTATGTATAAAGTACTTTATTTTAATCTGTTTGAACTAAACTTTGAGCTATCTGCCATATGTCAGTGTCATGTCCTTCAGTAAGTCTGATACTGTTTCCTACTGTATGTGTGACCTCACCACCCCCCCTCCCCCTCCCCCTGGTGTCAGTGTTCCGTCACATTTTTGTTTTCCAAACAGCTCGCCATTCTGACCCCCATAGGAAAGAAAAAGTACCCAAAGTCCTCCCAACAACCCACAGAAGTTTAACATTTTTCTTACAAATGTTGTTACTTTCTCTTTTGGTCAGACCACACAACTTCCTGTCTCATTGACATGTATCCGATGTGTGACAGGGGGGCTGCATGCTTCAAAGCTGCATACCCCATTACCAATTCACACCACCTCTGTACTTAGCCTACAGAAATACACACACACACACACACACACACACACATACACACACACACGCACATACAGAGAAAGTAAAACATGCGGTGGGAGGCAAAGAGGCGAACAGATGAGTGATAAGTGGAGCTTCCACTTCGGACACCTCAGGAAAATAAAAAAAACGACTTAAAGGCTCCTGACTTGAGATAAATAGACGTCCAGTCATTTCTTTGTGAGGGGTTAATGTCTGGAAAAGATGTCAATCTGTGAAACGCTACATGTTTTATTTAACCCCATCTTGTTGATGGTTGAGAATAATTTAGATATCAATGTTCTTATTGATTCGTTTACAGTTTCAGTTGGCGCGTGGCAGCGTTTGGCTGTGAAATACGGTCAAACAGTTCACCTGAAGTGCCCAATCACTGATGCTCACCTGACAAATGTGGAGTGGAAGAACCCTGACGGATTCATCATGTTCTTCAGTCATAATAAAGGTGAAGAAAGTAGGTTTTACCCCCCTTAATTACAGTGACAAATGTTCTACAACTAGTAACTTAAATGATCAGATGTGTTTTGAACTCATACTCTTATTAAGAATATTGATCTTTTTTCCCCTCACTCCCAGCTTTGAAGGACAAACGCCACAACATCATCAAGCTGTCTAAGTCAGAATTCACTATCAGTATTTCCAGTGTCACCTTTAGGGATGGAGGTATCTACACATGCTCTCAGTACGGTCAGCACCTGACAGAGAAGAAGGTGGAGGTCACTGTTATAGGTGAGTTTAACTTTTTCATTGATTCAGTCACAACTTATAGACAGCGTGACAGTGAGGCCTTTATTCCAACAAACCATACCAGAGTCCTCCGAAATGAAAAAGAACTGCAGATTATTTTTTGTACTGTTACTTTTATATAAAAAGATGAACTCATTCTGCACTGCTGGGGACATTTTTAAAGTGGCCGACAAGTGCAGTCAACCTGCAACTTTGCAACATCCAAAACATCTTACATTGGGAAAACCATGCAAAAAATTCTGACATGATTTTAATTGAAAAGAGTATGGAAAATTCCAAAACAAATGGTACAACTGAAACATGCTGCAAATGAAGGAAATGTGCTGCAAAAGCCAAAAAAACAATTGTATTAACATCAAAAGCTATGCAAAAACATGAACAATGACATTTAAAGCCAATCTGGCCTGGAATCTACCTGGAGCTAGCTGCAGGGCTAACTGTTTTCTAACCATCCCCCCTTCACGTTTCCCCTTAAATAAGACTCTGATGCCAACATTTGTGTAACCACTCACAGAGTGACTGTTGGCCATTTTTATCATCGTCTTAATTTTTTATATACATACTTTTTACGATTCAAATTAACAAGCTGTATTTAAATGTATAATATTAAGAAAGAGAGAGAGAAACAAAACACCAGCCATTTGAGCTCTGGACCATCAGGAGGTTGAGTTTACTGCCCATTTCAGTCGTTTGATTTTTTGTGACTTTTGCTTTGACTTTTGAAGACTAGTGTTTCTGAATTTGCTGCACATAATGTAATGTAAGTTGCTGCGGGTTGG